ACCTTTTAAAAATTGAATTTGTGCTAGTTCTTAGCCAGAATCAGCAGATTAATAAATTAACTACAAGTGCCAAGGCTGTTCAATATACCTAGTGCAATTATACAACCACTGGCCTCAAAATGCAAACAAAACACAACCTCCCTCGCCATATATTGAATTTTAAGAGACCATGTGTGTCTGTGAGTGTGTGTGTGTAGCTGTTCTAGAGTAGAGACCTAGTGTGGCATCATACAGGGTACAGTGTCAGATCCAGGAGACCAAGGTTAAGATTCTCACTCTGCCATGTGAAGTTGCTGGGGGATTTTGGGCCAGTAACACACAATGGAGCTGCGGTGGCTCAAGTGGTTAAGATACTGAACTGCAGGCTGTGGAAGGTCAGTAGTTCAGCAGTTCAAGATCCGGGTGCCGCAAGACGGAGTGAGCTTCTGTCTCTAGTTCCAGCTCCTGCCAACCTAGCAGTTCGAAAGCAAGAAATTGCAAGTAGATAAATAGGGACCACTTTGGTGGGAAGGTAACAGCGTTCCGTGCGCCTTGGAGTTTAGTCATGCCGGCCACATGACCACAGAAACGTCTTCGGACAGCGCTGGCTCTTCGGCTTTGAAACGGAGATGAGCACCGCAACCCTAGAGTCGGATTCGACTAGCTTTCGAGCAAGGGAAACCTTTACCTAACACACTCTGAGCCTAGTGTGCCTCATGGGGTTGTTAAGGTAAAATGGAGGCGAAGAGAGTGATGTAGGTCATTTTGGATCCTCACTTATTATAAATGAAGTAAAAGGTATAATTTACTTATCTGGAGAACCACAAACAAACAACAATGGTTTAGAAATGGGTGTTTCAGGCTTTAACAGGCATCACCTCAGCTTGGGGTACTTGCCTCCCTCCTCTGAGGATCAAACTAGACATGATGGAGATGGTGGATTTCCATTACTCCTTAAAAGCTGGGCTATTTATTTCGTATACATTTATCCTGTCCGTCCTCCAAGGATCTCAGGCTAGCATACCTGGCTCTCCCTTCATCTAGTTTATCCTCAAGTCTGTGAGGTGGGTTTGGCAGCAAGAGAGAGCCTGGTCCAAGGTCATCCAGTGAGCTGCTCTGGCAGAGTGAGAATTTGAACTTGGGGTTCCTACATCCTGGTCTGAAACTCTAACCTCTACATCACACTTGACTCTCAATTACAGCCAGACATGGCGCTGATTTGGATTGGGGACATGAGTGAAAGGGGGGCTCCGCATGGTTTCTTTAACTGAACAGCAGGGTTGTTGTTAACCCTCTAAAAGAAAAGAAAAAGACATGTCTGTATGTTGCTTGTCTTTATAGTTCTTTAAAGGAAAAAAAAGACAAGGGAAAGAGAAATATCTGTCTTATATTTTCTGTTTAAAGGACAAACAGTGGGGGGGGCCCTGCTTTTTACCAGCAAAACTGTACAGCAGTGCATGTGTTAAACTTTCTCTTAACTTTCCACACACAGACCAAGAATAAATGTTTTTGGAAAGTGTTTTTGAAGAGACTCTGGTGTTCCTTGTAAGCATGTCAGGGATTCCTGTGATGACTAATAATGGCAAAAAAGGCTTCCCTCAAGCATTGCCAGTCTTCTGCAATGTACAGCTGCTGCAGAGTGTTTGGCTGTGGCCTGGGTGACTCTTCCAGTTCCTGCCTGTCAGGACCCTAGCCTCTGTGCAGGTGAGGAATGTGTATGCATCTCCCAGGTCCTCAGCATTATGGTGTTCATAAATAAATGGCTCGTCACCTGACACGTCTATGTTTTTATCAGATGAGGAACCACTTGCTTATGAAAACCAAGTGGAGTGCAGGACTTCTGGTTGATGGTGGCTCGAATGCGGACTCACCTCCCGGACCTCCCGGGGGTGTCTCCGAACTCCGGCAGAAGGAGGGGGCGAGTGGGGAAGAGAGATAAGCCGGTGAAAGTGAAAGGCTTAGAGACTCCAAAACCGGAAGTGACGAACGAGACGGCTAAAGCAGTTGCAGAGTATATGCGCCCTCTGCTGGAGCAGCTAAATGTCTCCAAGGAACAGATGACAGTGGTAACCCAAGGAATTACAAGTCAACAAACACAGATAAATGAACTGATACAAATAATGAAGCAGGACAGTCAAAAAGTGAAGGAAGTGGCTGAGGATACTCAAAAGGTGAAGAAAAAAGTCAAGAAGCTGAAGTCTGAACAAGGTTTAATGAAAGACCAATTATTACAAGTTCAAATGGATAAGGCCAACATGGTTCTTTGCTTCCAAGGTGTTCCAGAAATACCGGGTGAGAATCTTTAAGAACAGAGGATGAACTGAAAAGCGAGATGGATATGGTCTACAGATCATATTCAGGCTATATAAAGAAAAATAATCTGCCTGGGGAAATTGTTGTAAGATTCTCGAAGAGGCCTATAAGGGATGCAGTCCTGAAAGCAGTGTCTGGAGCACCTCTGAAAGTGGGGGGAAATGCTATCAGAACGCTGAAGGATATTCCATTTGATGTAAGACAACGGAGGAAGAAATATAAAGAACTGGTGACTTTTCTTCAGATGAATTCAATTGGATATAAATGGCATTTTCCTGAAGGAGTGACTTTTAAGATAAAGGATAAAAAAGAAAAGATTGGAGGACTCTTTGACTGAGCAGGGAGCAGCAGCTCCAAGAAGTCCTTATAAGCTGAGAAGGGGGAAAAAGAAGTAAAGGCTGAAGAACTCTGAATTGTGCCTTGAACTTAACAATATGTTAGTGATGAATGGGGGGTGGTTTTCAGGCATTTTAAGTTTTAAAATTAGGAGAGAGAAAAAATTAAAAGGTTTGACTCTGTAGAGATGAAATTGAAGTTAGGACTTATTGTAACTAAGCTTATTGGAGATCTCCTCTCTTGGATTTTTAGGTAGTAGTTGGTATTCTTTACTTTATCCCAGTATGTGTAGTCCCCCTCTCCCTTTTTTCTTTGTAGTATTTGTAGTTATATAAAAATAATAAAAAAATCCCCTCCGGGGGAATAAAAAAAGAAAAAAAGAAAACCAAGTGGAGTGCTGAGGATTCTGGGGGATGCTTCAAAGCGTACACATATGATATTCCTCATTACTATTTAGAGTTGTGAAGGTTGGACAATGAAGGAAGCTGGCAACAAGAAAATTCATTCATTTGAAATGTGGTGATGGAGAAGAGTTCTATGGACACCAGGGACTGCTAAAAAAGACAAATCAAATCACACCTGAATTCTGTTTAGAAGCTACAATGACTAAACTGAGGCTGTTGTACTTTGGTCACTGTAAGGTTCCCCCACTGAGACATGCTTCCAGCCTTCCACCATCTTGCCACTAAAGAGGGTGTCTGACTCAGTGGACTCATGATTGAGAATGAGAAGGGTTCCAGTATCTAGGTCCTCTTCCCCTGCCTGTCTGCCTGTCAGTCAGTCTGCCTCTGGTCTGAGTTCAGTCTGTTGCTTCCTCCCTGGCTGGGCATAGTGCCTTCCTTTTGACCGCCACCGGAGGTCAGCGCATATGCCCAAGCTTCAGTCCGAAACAACAATGGGGACTAGGATCCTAGTCCCTCCACTGGGGAACCAATGGGATCCGTGGCGGGAGATTTGAACGGCATAGTGCCTTCCTTTTTATGGGATTCCCTGGCCCCATGCCACCTTGCCTGTATCCAATTTCCTTTCACCTGTTCCACCTGTGAGACTGTAAAATAAAAGGAAAGCCTTTCCTGCCTCTTCCCCTCACTGCCAGTCTCCCTAACCTGCTCCTTCTCTTTGCTGCCTTTGCCTCTCCTCCCCTGGCCTTCCTCAAGTCTGGGCTAAACCTTGCCTTCTCCCCATCCCCTCCCTGCTGCTGCCTGGCTCCCAGCCTTTTTCTCAACTGTTGTCAGCATTATCTGCCTGGATCCCAGCCACTGACCTGGCCTGGCCTTCTTCGCATAGTTGAGTCAGGCCCCTGGCCATCCTCAGCTTGAGGAGTTAGGTCTCTGGTTGTTGGCTCCTTAGAGTTCCATCATGAGAACACGTCTCACCGGAAAAGACAATAATGCTAGGAAGAAGGCAGTTAAGAGTAAGACCAGGGCCGGCCCACTCACTAGGCCAGCTAGTCTCTTACCTAGGGTGCAGGTCCAAGCAGGGTGCCAACTGACCTGCAGGCTGCCGCCCTCCGCCCGCCAAAAGCCCCCATCCTGCCTAAAGCTGCTGCTCATCTTGCAGCGGCGGCAGCATGCATGCTGCCCTGCACTGCCGTGCGCTCGTCCCCAGTGCCACATGGGCGCATGGTGCGCCTATTGATCCCCTGGCTGCCTGCGTACACAGTGCGCCCCAGCCAGCTGGGAAGGCAGGTAAGTTCTGCTTGGGGGGTGGGGGGTGGCAGCAGGGCCGGGGGAAGGGGGAGTAGAGTAGAGGTGGACAGGCTTTTTGGGAAAATGGCAAAAATAAATTGCATCTATCTGTGAAGATGTTGGTGGGCCAGCAAATGGGGTGGGTAGAGTTACCAGCTGCAGACTGGTAAACACCTGGAGACTCTGGGGGTAGAGTCTGGGGAGGGTGATGTTTGTGGAGGGGAGGGACTTCAACAAGGCATAATGCCGTAGAGTCCACCTCACAAAGCAGCCATTTTCTCTGTTGCCTGGAGATCAGTTGTAATAGCAGGAGAGCTCCAGCCTCAACCTTGAGTTTGGCAACCACAGGGTGAAGTCCTTGGCCAGCCAAATCCCAGCAGTGTTCCCAGCCTCTCATGGATCCACCTGGGACTCAACTGATGACTGTGCAGTCCTGGGAGGCAATGAGGACTGTGCCAGCCACCAGCGCAACTGCTGCTTGGATGGAGCTCTGGCCCTGCGTGCTAAAATGGTCTGCAGTGCTCCAGGGGGGCTGCGTACACCCAATCTTGAGCTACATGGTGAACTGTTATTTGTGTGTCTGTGTGATCCCTCGTTTTGCTCCTGACCTTGCTAATGTGCAATGCATATTTAGTACATGGTAAGGTTCTTGTATTAGCTTGTTAAGCACCACAGACACCCGAGATGAGCTACCTAAAGGAGGATCAGTATGTAGAAACGTGAAGTCACTGCATCTGTATCCCAAGTGGGTAACTATTAGTTGAGAAAATTATTAACTAGAGAATCAGGTGATCTCTGTGACTGGCTATCAGTCAGGGATGTGGTTCACAGTTCAGTTTAAATTGTCTCCTCCTACTTTTCATTATCCCCCTCTGTTTTAATAGCTGGTATTTGTGGTTGGGAGCATCTGATCCACTGCTTGAGTTAAATATAGCACTGTCTAGTGTAAGGAGAAGATTTAATGGGAAATGGTTGGCATTCCTTCTCTCCAAAGCACAGAGCGAGAGAGAGGGCGAGCACCATGCACATGCAAACATACCGGGGAGTGAGAGATTGAAAGGGGGGAAACCGGCAGGGCAGGCAGGCAGGCAGGCAGACAAGAGATCCTAAAGACAGATCAGCACCCTGCACATTGGAATTGTCCAGCTTGCAGCCAGCATGCTCGTCCTCAGCCTCATGGCATTGGGATTCTATCTGCAGCTCCTTTTCTGCTTTGCTCTGTCTCAGACCTCCTTTGTTGACAGTGTCTTCTCCATCTCTGCAGGTAAAGGACAACATTGCTGCATAAACTGGTCACTTGTTGTGTTGGCTTTAGTTCTCTTAAATTTCCCTGCTCTTTTTGCCAGATTGGAAACAACAAGTAATAATTTGATTGCAAATTTCTACTGAACTTGCATTGCAATTGCAGAATTATAAGAGCTAGTTGGCAAATAATGTTTCTTATCCAAATTCTGCTTTTCCTTATGCTTTTCCCTCCCAATTAAACCTGATTATAAACTAAAATCTATTGAACAGTAGTGCGCCAAATTCTCAGTAAATGCATGTAAGATCTAGCGTTCATTTGCTTTGAGAACTGCATGATTTTGCTTTGCATGGGTTTAAAAATAAGTAGACGAGAGGAAAGACAAATGTATCGCAATGTATATCCGTTTCTATTAATATGCTTGTGACCTCGTCCCGTCCTGCTGGACTTGAACTGGATGTTAGGTGGAGTAAACATCTTCTGGCTGTGCCAATGATATGAACAAATTCTCAGATGACTTTCATAGCAAAGATATGGGAAAAATCCCGATAATCACAAGGCAAAGCCCATACATTGTTTGAATGCAGGGAATCCAATTTCCCAGCAAGTTTTCTTCTAGCTATGTGTAGTAGAAAGGAGACAAGCGGGGGGGGTGGGGACTATTCACATGTTGCTTCTAATTCCTAGTCTCTGTAGATGGCTTTCTTTTTTCCCCATTATACATTGGTCCTAGCCTGCATTCAAACAATCCTAAAATATTTTGAGGTCATCTCAGATCAGATTTTGCATCTTCAGCCTAACTGGATATCACACCAGTCTGGAACTCTAGAGCAGTATCAGACAGTTGAACAGACCTTTGAATGTTTGCCTTTGAATGTTAATGAAAACAACAATCAGAAGGACTCTGCAGAAATCCTTTAAAAAGCCTACTAGGATGTTACTGTTGTGAAAAGTTTTTATTTAATTTTAAAGACATTGCTAATATTCAGTATCATTCCTTTTAGATTCATTGCCTTTAAATTCAGGGACTTTTAAAATTGCAGTAAAATTCACTGACTAGAATACTAAGAATCTGGAAATGTCTGATACATTTATGTAATCTTGTCCTTGCATTGTGAAAAAAAATACTGTCAGACAGTGATGCGTGGTACTCTCTGATCAATTCAAAGCAAAGAAATCTCATTAGGAAGGGGAACAGAATGGACCGAAGGCAGTACAGTGAACATAACAATGGACATGGAAGAAAAGGCCACAAGAACTAAGCACTGAAGGAACCCTTCCTGCCCTCCCTCGCATGATCTGCCTAATTTCACAGAATCAGCATTGTTGTCAGATGACCATTTAGCCTTTGAAAACCTCCAAAGAAGGAGAGCCCACCACCTCCAGAGGAAGCCTGTTCCACTGAGAAACCGCTCTAACTGTCAGGAAGTTCTTCCTAATGTTTAGCCGAATATTCTTCTGATTTAATTTCAACCTCTTGGTTCTGGTCTGACCTTCTGGGGCAACAGAAAACAACTCTGCACCATCCTCTATATGACAGCCCTTCAAGTACTTGAAGATGGTTATCATATCACCTCTCAGTTGTCTCCTCTCCAGGCTAAACATACCCAGCTCCTTTAACCTTTCCTCATAGGACTTGGTCTCCAGACCCCTCACCATCTTCATTGTCCTCCTCTGTATCCTTCTTAAATTTTGGTGCCCAAAACTCAACACAGTACTCTAGGTGAGGTCTAACCAGAGCAGAGTAAAGCAATACCACCACTTCACATGATCCATACTTCTGTTGATACAGCCCAAAATGGCATTTGCCTTTATAGCTACTGCATCACACTGCTGACTCATGTTTAGTGTACGGTCTACTAAGACCCCCTAGATCCTTTTCACATATACCACTGCCAAGACAGGTCTCCCCCATCCTATAATTATGCATATGATTTTCCTACCTAAATGCAGAAGTTTACATTTATCCCCATTAAAATTTATTTTGTTTTAGCCCAGTTTTCCAGCTTGTCAAAATCATCCTGTATCCTGTCTCTGTCTTCAACTGTATTTGCTACCCCTCCCAATTTAGTATCATCTGCAAATTTAATAAGCATTTCCTCTATTCGTTCATCCAAATAATTTATAAAGATGTTGAACAAAACAGGTCCCAGGACAGATCCTTGAGGCACTCCAGTTGTCACTCCTCTCCAAGAGGATGAGGAACCATTAACAAGCACTCTTTGGGTGCGAACTATCAATCAGTTGCAGATCCACCTAACAGTAATAGGATCCAAAGCACATTTTACCACATTTTACTTAAACATAGAACAGTTGCCTGTCCTCCAGTCTTCATTCATTAAACTTTTTGTAATATAATACTAGATAGAACACAGATTTAACGAAAAAATCTTAAGGCACAGGCAAGCAGTTTTTGTGTTATGTTTGCTTAGAAGTATGTCCCACTATTCAATGAGGCTTGCTCTCAAATAATCATATGTGATATTTCAGCCTTCTAAAGATGTGGGAATTTGAAAATATGGTACCTCAAGAAGCTTCTCCACAGTTATTTTCTAGTATCCACTGGGACATTTAGTGTTACGGGGTGCTTAACAAACATCTTTATAATTTCCCCCCCCAAAGAAACAATTCCTAAATAATGACATTGGGCTGGCTTTTGGTTTCTTGGGGTGGTGGTATTTGACTCATGCTAGGTGCTATCTATGCGGATGGGTTAGGCAGCCTATTCACTGTTTTTCTTGTGGAGTTTGATCCTAGCAAAAAAGTCAAGTAAGGTATTGTTTTATGCCAATAAAGGTAAACTGAAACTGAAAAAAGTCAAGTAGCTACCTGTTGAGACTCGTTAAAGGGACCAAAGCCTTCTTTTTCTCATAGGTAAAGGTAAAGGTTCCCTTGCTCGAAAGCCAGTCGAATCCGACTCTAGGGTTGCGGTGCTCATCTCCGTTTCAAAGCCAAAGAGCCAGCGCTGTCCAAAGACATTTCCGTGGTCATGTGGCCGGCATGACTAAACACCAAGGCGCACGGAACGCTGTTACCTTCCCACAGAAGTGCTACCTATTTATCTACTTGCAATTTCTTGCTTTTAAACTGCTAGGTTGGCAGGAGCTGGAACTAGAGACGGGAGCTCACTCCGTCATGCGGCACACTCGGGTCTCGAACTGCTGAACTACTGACCTTCCACAGCCTGCAGTTCAGCGTCTTAACCACTTGAGCCACCGCAGCTCTTTTCTCATACACAAAAGTAATTCACTCTACAAGGGGAAATTAGGAGTACCATCTCCTGGCTTTTGTCCAAGTTCCCTGGGTGAAGATAATGGACTGGTGTGTGCCTTTGCAGGGGTTTGTCACTTGATTTGATAGCATTCTGCTGGCTATGTAGAATCAAGCATGCCCTTTCAGTATGGTGACAGAATACTGAAAGTGGGTTTAAGGCTCCAAGTGACTGTATGGTCATGACTGTGCACCTGAACAATGTCTCTGGCTTTAGGCCTGGGCCTAGATGCAAGCTTGGCTCAGTGTCCACTTGGTCCTCTCTTCCCCCAGCAATGGTTGCAGTAGGAACAGTGAAAAGGGATAGTACTTATAACAGGGCATTCCATGTGCATGCACATGTGGGTCTAGGGTTGCCAAGTACATACAGCGGGGGACTCCAGCCCTCCGCATGCACGCTGCAACCACGTCACCCGGAAGTGACGCGGCCTCATCAGGTGTGCCGGGGGCGGGGCCGCGGTCATCTGAGGGGAAAACATAGAGTTTTCTCTCGGACGACCGCAGCCCCACCCTCGGCGCGCCTGGCGTGGCTGCATCACTTCCGGGTGATGTGCTGATGCCGGGCACGTCACATGCTTTGGGGGTGGGGTTCCCCCCAGGGTCCGATCTGCCACTGCTAGGTAACGGGCCTCTGGGGTGGGGGTTTCCCCACCCCCCGGGGGGACTTGGCAAGCCTATGTGGGACTAAAATGCATGCACACAGTACCATCTTGGAAACAATATCTGCCTACTAGTAATTGCTGCTGGCTTTTTAGAAACTGCTTTAAAACTAAGAAGATTTTCACATTACCGTTCTAAACCAGATGTTTCTTGCTGTTGGACCGATTACAAGTAAAGTAAAGCAATACAGGGATAGGGGTTTCATACAGTGAATTTCCCTCCATTAATGAGTTGTCTCTGAAGCACTATGGTCATTTCAAACACTGCTGCTTTCCCCCCATTGTTTTTTGCTGCACAATTTTTCTTAGAGTTTTTCTTTAACATTCTAAGTTAAGCACTATAGTGCCAAACCAGTATAGCCCTTCAGTGCAATAGTGGCACCATTGCGATGCTTTGACTCCATTGTAGAGTCAAGACATCTCAATGGTGCCGCTATAGCACTGAAGTGCTATGTTGGTTTGGCACCATAGTGCTCAACTTAAAACGTTCAGATCCATGGAAGATCACGGGGGGGGGGGGAGTAGCATTGTAGGAAATGCTATGGACATTTCAAACAGCAAACCACAGCGATTCAGAAGTGCAATGAAGGGGTTGAAAATGGAAGAAAGCAGTTTCCCTCGAACACGGCTAAACCATGCTTTGCTAATTGGACGCAAGTGGGTTTGTATGAACAGGTAAATAAATTCGGCTAGCAGCTGGTTACTAAAACGAGTCTGTCTGAAATGACAGAAAAAACCCATTAGCAAAAAGTTACTAAAATGGAATACAAAGGCAGTTTGAAAATGTCCTTAAAACTGGATCCCTAGCCTCAGGCCATTTTCTGCTGAATTCTGCTAAATGGACTAAAGGACTTTTGAGTATGTACAGAGTATCTTTCCAGCGAAATAAAACAAAAATCCACTGGCACCTTAAAGACCAATAACATTTATAGGCTGTCCGAACACATTTAGGATGAAGAACGAATGCTGTCTTGGGCATCTTTCTTAAGAAATGATTTTTTTACTTCAGTATTTATCATTCTGGTTATCTTGGAATGAACAGCTTTGTAGCGTTAGTGGTTCTGTGTTCAGAAGAACTGCAAGTCTATGGTG